TCTTTTTAATTTAGTGTTGACTATTGTTTTTAAATTTAGTTTCCCGAATTCTTTGTAAATTATCTTTCTAATTTTCTCTGTTTTAAAGTTTGTGGAGCTCCTCACTACCATGAGCCCGTCATCTCTGTATAGCCTGATGTCCCCGATGTCTAGTTCACGGTGGGCAGTTAGATTGTACAGTATAAATAGACTGACAAGGTCCGAAGATTCTGCAGAGTCTAGAGATCCCATGGTGATGTCAAAGTTGTCATTGGTGTTTTTAATCCACTGGTCCCCATTATGGAAGAGGACAGATTTCTTTGAACTGAGAATTATGTTTGTTTCTTCCTTAGTTAAGTCAGAATATACTGTAGCAAACTCCAGGGCAGTTGTGAAGAGGTCTTTTGATATTGACTGGTAGTAATCGACAATATTGAACTGAATTAGGGTGCAGTCGAACTTATTGTCAATGTTGGTAAACCAGTTTATGACTTCTTTGGTGTTAATCCAGAGTGTTAATCCGAGGTGTTTTTTAATTTGGCTAGTGATCCTTTCTAGGATTTTTTTGCTTATCCTATGTCGGGTCTAGTAGGGTTTATCATTCTGGTAGTGGGGTCTTCCTCAAAATCGTGTTTGTGGTCCTTAAGAGTGATGTAGCACTCCTTTTCGGCCAGTTTGCCAACTCTATCACTTATTTTTAATTTTTCAGTAATCATTTTACTAGTTCTATTGATACTGTCAACCATATTTATATTATAATTCTGGGCTTTTTTATAAGTCTTCATTAAGTTTTTTCTAATTAATTTGTTTTAGTCGTCAGCTGTCAATTTGTAAAAGTTTCCCATTTTATCGGATTTAACTAGTATTTTATTGCTGTCATTTATGCTTTTGACTATTTGGTCTAGACGCTTCTGGAATTTGTTTTTCTTTTTTTGAAAGGAAATATTGTTGATTATATTTAGTAGGTCCTTTTCAAATTCCTGTAGGTTTTTGTTGTATGGTGCTACTTTCTTGCTTTTAAATCTGTAAACCTCATGCTCTTTTTTTATTAGGTTATTCCCTTGTAGGAAGAAGTATGCTTTCCATCTCATTCTTCTTATTAATTCCTCTGTTTTTTGTAAAAGTTTGATGAAATAATTCCATTTGTTTGTGTGTTGAATGTTCTTCAGAGAAATGTCAAAATTTATTTTTTCCATATTTTTAAAGTTCTTATTTTAAAAATAAAGGTTCAGAGTGCTCGACCTTTGGGAGAAAATATTATTATAATAAAGCTCTACTTCTGTATGGAGCACTGTCTTCTTAAAAATAAAAACAAAAATACTAAGGAACCCCGGATTATGCACCCAATGTGTTCTTTTCTATTTTCTGCATACCTACGCTCTTATATATATATATATATATATATATATATATATATATATACTAGTTTTCTCTATAGCAAGTACTAGGATTGTTACTAGAATACTAACCTACAAAAATGTCTGTTATTGTAATAATACAACTTTCAAGTTTATATATATATATATATATATATATATATATATATATATATATATATATGGCATTTTGAAAATGAAAACAATCTCTCTTTTTCTACCTACCTCAGCCTGATCACCCTGATTTACAATATATAATATGGGTCATGTCATGATCTCCTAATTTAGAATTAAGTTTCCTGTCATTTTCAACTACCTGATGAACTATAACTATCTTTTATATATTGTATTTTTGCATGTATATATATATATATATATATATAATTTTGTATATCAACAGTGTGTCATACTCTTCTCTCTTTCTCTCTCTCTCTCTCTCTACATATATGTGTGTGTGTGTGTGTGTGTGTGTGTGTGTGTGTGTGTGTGAGAGAGTTTTAGAAACAAGAATTCTTGCAAACATGTTTGGTTAAATATATTGACAAGTTCTAGCCTATCCAGTTTTCATGTAAGTGTTTTCTTTTATGGATATAGTGTGTGTAAAAACTATCCAAAATTTCTATATATCTAAGCACTTTTGGCTATACTATTAGCCATTTTCAAGGAAGTTTTTGCATGTTATTTTTTAACTAAATGTATAGATTTTATATGTATCTGGAGTGATAGGAATTTTTTTACAAACACGGTCAGCACATTGTGGCCTTGTTCTTAGTTATTGCCTTTTTCTTTTTATTATTAATGCTTTGATTATTTTTAGCATTTTTTTACATGGTAGATGCAGCTATTATATTGTATTTTCCCCAAGTATGTTGTGGATAGGGTTTGGTAGGTTTCCATGTATGTTTAAATGTGTTCTAATTAGGCTATGATCAGAGATATGTAACAAGAATCTTGCTGATAGGCATGTTGTGGTATGTCCAATATAATTATTCATGAATTTGGTTTGATCAGGACATGTAAATTTATAAATAATATTGGTTCTTTGTACTTTGGGTCTTGCAGGTGAGTTGTTGTTGACTATAATGTTAGCTGTTTTAAATTTTGTATTGTAAATAATTAAATTAATTTTTTTATTCTAGTTCACTGAGGTTGTATATTTCTTTATAATGCTTCTAAGGGAAAATTCATCCTGTTTATAGTTAACGTGCTTTTGATTTTCATAGAAAATGTTGATGTTACAGTTTTTATATGTGAATATCACTGCTGCTATTGGTTACCTTAAAAAGAAATAGTCTAATTTGGTGATCTATGGGTTAGTTTGGAAAACCATTATTAAATAGTGTCTGTTTCACATTGTTCAGTTCTTTAAAGAAAAGCAGAGAAATCTTTTTATAACACCTATTTTATATCTAAAGGGACATTCACTCATAAAATTAAGGTGGTAAGAGTTTTTACTTGTGTGGTTTTGTATAACAAAGCAGTGAATGTGTTATTTCTAGATTCTACAAGAATGTCTTAGAAAGGGACTTTATTTTTCTAAGTTCATAAGAAAAGTTAAGGATAGAGTTTTTTTTTTTTTAAATTTAGTCTTAAGATTATCAATTTCTTTTTGTCTTCAGCTAAAATAAAAAAAATATCATCTACATAGTGGACATATATTTTAGGTTAAGTAACATTTTTAAATACTTTGTTTTTGACATGAGACATGTAGTATTTAGAGATGCATGGTCCAAGTGGATTTCTCGTACTAACATCAGTAGCTTGAGTATAGAGGTTGGCATTATGGCTGTAGAAGGGGACTTTAGTTGTGCTTGCATGGAGTAATTTTCTGAAGATATTAGGCTGATGGATGGAGGTGAAATCGTGTTATGTTTGTACAAAGAATTGCAAATTTTATTGATAGTTTTATTGACAAGGACGTTTGTAAATAAATTGCCTACATTAGGTAACATTAAAATGTTTTGGTTTAGTTGTGTGGTTTTAAGGATTTGGAGAAATTCATGTGTGGGTTTGATATTATAATTGGTAGGTAGGTAGGTAGGTAGGTAGGTATGGGGAAACAATCTACATATTCAGTTAAAAATTAAAATATAAAAATATCCTTCTGGCTAATCAAACAGCTGAAAGCACTCAAATATATAGGACATTTGGACAGTTTTTACATGCTCTATATCCAGTGAAGAAATCACTTATATGAACACAAGAAAAATTGAATGGAAAAGCTTAATCACAGTACCTTGTCAATCCTCATTAATGAAACTTGTATATATATATATATATATATATATATATATATATATATATATATATATATATATGTGTGTGTGTGTGTGTGTGTGTGCATATAATGTCGGATTACACTTGTTACATTTTGCTAAAGGTTGATATACAGTATCTGAGATGAGGTATTATGTACACTATTTATATTATTTGGACTATTGTCCACATTTTTGTTGCCATATTTATCACAATGTTTTGGCCGTTGTACACTTTGGTCTTCTTCAGGTTGTTGGAATGTTGAACTGAACCCTTTATTTCACTCACTGAGGTAGACTGTTCTAGTTCCACATGCTATGTTAGTTATCAGTTATCTCCTGTTAATTCCCCTCTCCAAGTTCTCCACTGCCTTAACCAGGTATTGAGCTCACATCTCTTTGGATCCAGTCACTGGATCTAACCAACGCCTTTACCCATTGTGTCATGTGTCTTTAATGTAAATTGACAAGAGATGACTGATAACTGACATCCATTAGACATGGTACATGGAACTAGAACAGTCTACCCCAGTGAACAAAATAAAGGGTTCAGTTCGACATTCCAACCACCCGAAGAATACTGGAGCATACAATGGTCGAAACGTTGTGATAAATATGGCAACAAAGATGAGGACATTAGTCCGAATAATGTAAATGGTTTATATACATTCATCTCGGAACCAGATTTCTTCCCTCTGATACAATGTATATGCCCAATGCTTTCTCTATTACAGTAAGAATTAATTCCTGTGTCCTGGTAATCTCTTTAAAAGACAGATACTTTCATCTCATAACCTAGGAGCTGCCATAGGATTAGTCTTCAAAGAAAAATATACTAGAAAGAGATCCAATTATGAAATATGCAGGCCTGTTAATGGCGAATATCTATTAGATAAGTAAGGTGTAATAGCAAATGATGCATAGTATCTTATCGTTTTCATGATTCAATATTCCCACTCAGTGTAATTCAACATGGTGTAATGGTTGCCTTGAGTCTAATTATCCAACCATAAAATCAAGAATATGCTGCCAATGAAAAAAAGTGTTCTGCCTATGTTGATAGACAGATTAAATGTAATATGCCACCATACGCTGCCACCCTATAGTGCTGCATGTCGACTATGGTGGATGGATAGTCACAAGGAAAGCATTAATTTCATTAATTTTTGTGAACAGATGCAATTGGTTTTACAGAATAATTTTTTATGTTTGAAGCAATTCATTTTTGGTCAGCTTCAGGTGGTTGTTTAGTTCAAAAAATCCTCAGCTTACTGTTAGGAAATTGAATTATTTAGTGGAACATTTTAATGACAAAATATGAAAAATTGAATGTAGTATAGGAATAGAAAATATTAAAATGTGTTGAGATATTCATCTTGAAGGAAGAGATTTACAAAAGAAATTGCTTTGAAAAAGAAAGAAAGAAAGAAAGAAAGAAAGAAAGAAAGAAAAAAAAGGTGAGTAAAGGAAAAGAGGAAAGGCATTGAAAAGAAAGAACAAAAGAAAGAATATTAAAAAAATAAGGTAAGCAGATAATAGAAAGAATGAAAGGAAGAAAGACTAGCATGTAAAAGAAAATGCTCTGAAAACAAAGAAAGATTTGTTAATAAGAAGAAAGACATTCACAGAAAGAAAGAAAGAAAGAAAGACAAAACCATATAAAGGAAAATAGAAAAGGTATTGAAAAGAAAGAATGAAAGAATGGTAGAAAGAAAAAGAAAGATATACATATAGCAGAAATGAATGAATGAAAAAAGAAAGAAAGACATGTAGAGGAACATGCCCTGAAAAGAAAGAAATGTTTGTCAGCATCGAGCAAATCAAAGAAATAATAAAAGGGTAGAAAGAAAAGCAAAAATATATAATGGGAAAGAGGTTAGGTGGTGAAAAGAATGAAAAAAAGAAAGATGAGGTTGCAAGGAAAGAAAGAAAGAATGATGGTGCAGCAAGGAGAGAGAAAAGAAGGGAGGAAGGAAAAAAGATAGGTTTGCAAGGAAAGAAAGATGAAGCTGCAATGAGAGAAAAATATGAGATTAGAAGGAAAAAAGAAAGACAAGGTGGCAAAGAAAAAAATAAAAATTAGATTGGAATGAAGGACAGAAGGAAGGAATAAATAAAAATTTGTTTTGAAAAGAAAGTAATAGAAAGAAAGAAAAACAAAAACAAAAAACATGTAAAGGAAAAGAGGAAGAGAATTTGAAAAGAAAGAAAGAAAAAATAAAAGACAAATATATCAAAATAAAAAAGACACTGTAAAGGAAGAAAAATGAACATGTAAAGGAAAATGAACTGAAAAAAAACTCAGAAGTCAGAAGGAAAGAAAGATATTGAAAATGAAAGAGAGAAGAAAATCTGATGTCTTCCCATTTCTATAAATAATCATATAAATATTAAATATATGTAAGTATAAATGCAATTGTTTTGTTGTTTCAATGAAATATTCTTTTAATAAATTTTGTAATTAAAATTTTCCTTCACCTCACCCTTGCTGCAACTCTCTATGATTTTCGCAGACACATTTGGCATTGGCTTTTGTAAGGTTTGAAGATTAAATTAAATTTCTTTTGAGTAATAATTAATTTTTTTTATATCTAATAATTAATTTGGACAAATGCATTGATTTCATTTCTGTACTTTGATATTATCAAGTACTTTATTTTGATTAACGTTAAGTTCAAAGTAAAAAACACAAAAAAATAAATTCACAATAAATTTACAATTATTTTTTTAAAGAGTATTCTTCAAGATACAGCCTATGTTTGAACATATTAAAATTCTTTGCTTGACATTATAATTTTATTTGTTACTTCTAATCTTTGAAGTTACCCACACCATAAAAACTAATAATAATGGTGAATTGGGTTGGCTGAAAAGTTTATTCTGTCTTTGTTATTAAATGGCATGAGGTGTTTTCAAATTTGATTAAATTCATACAACATATTACTTTTATGACAGCTGCCATATCCGTGAGTATTTTGAAAAAAAAAATGTCCTCAAAATTGGCATAGTTTTGTCTATTGAGTCTAATACTGCATAGAGAAAAAAATTTTTAAAAATTCAACAAAATTCTGTATTCTTGAATGCAGATAAAAAGAAATTTAAATATTGCATATCATTACATGTTACTGGTACATGTTGTTATACATTGCTGACATGACTTTCTGTATCTTAATCTACTGGATTTAACTTTCAAACAGAATATAACAACCCTTTCAAAACAATGCACTGCTTAAAATTTATTTTCTTTCCTTCTCTTTACTTTCTCATGTCCCAGAAGATAATTTATGTGAATTGTAACCTAGGACTGAAGATAAATTTTAAGCATTTTTTACATCTACAACAGCCATATTTCCAAAAAGTGATTTTCATTTTAGAGAAAAATATTAAAAATTTAATAGATATCATTATAATATTTAAAGAAGCAAAATTTTAACTGAAAAAATTTAGCAAGCAAACTATTTTTTCAAAATAAAAAAAACCTTAAAAAAAATTATATAAAGAAGGGTCTATAATTTAACTGGTCCTGATCTGGCATTTCAATTTCAGTCACTTTTGCCTTGCCATGGGGCTTCCCTTTGTCTTTTCTATAAATATTTTCATGGTAGTTGTTCTGTTGAGCTTTCTTCCTTGGTATCTCAACTGTATAAATTTATGCATACTACTAGATTGGTAACTAGGTCTCACTATTTTACTTTTGAACTAGCCATTTGGAACTGTTAGTTCTATTCTAATAGTTTCTTTTCTCACCTGAGGAAGTAATCTTAATTCTTGCTTCCCAGCCACCTACAATCTTCAAAGTTTTAAATGCAACATCAATTGCCATCTTCTATTTTTCTGCAACCTGTCTTTTCTTCTCACTAAAATCTTCTCATTCTTTTTCATGCTCAGTAACTCCTTGCATCTTAGTGGCATTATTGCCTTTGCTTGAGATGAAATGATTAAAAAATATCTATTCTTTTAAATAAGACTTGTTGCAAGAACAATTGCTGCAAAATATACTGTGCTTTTTATTATTATAACAAAAACATGAAAAAGAGAAAAAAATTATAAGAGAAGGCCTCATGAATGGGCAAGGGTGTCAAAAGTAATTTGCAATGTTTTATGCTAAAGATTTCTTGTTGAACAATTCTTCATAGCCAGATTGATCAGTTGAAGTTCATGAATTCAATACGCTAAACAGTTTTTGGTGATTTGCAAAGTGAAGAAAAATATTAAATAAATGAAAAAGTTCCAAAATTTATTAAGTATAGTTTTTCTTATGCAGAAGCTACAGATGAAAGTGATTACAGATTTAGATTTACACTGCATAATTTTGATATTTTCAGTATGCTGCTCATTTTTTTTTTTTTGTTTGTTTTTTTTTGCATTGTATAACATTGATTTTTCTAAAGTAATGTCTTCATCTATTTCAAATACTGGTAACCACTAAAAATAACACTTGAAGTAATCAAAATGAGGTTTTATATAAAATTAATCGATAAGAAGGTTTTATTAACATATAATACATGTTTCATTATAACATTTAATTTAAATTTTGGAAGATAAAAGTTGGCTGGAAAGCATGGAGCCAGAAGAGAGTTTCACAAGTGAGAAGTGTGAGAAAAGAAACTGTTTACATGGAACACTTACAGTTGCATCAAAAGCCAATTCAATTGTAAATTTATGAGAGTTTGTTGCTACTCTAGTACTGTGTTTAAGTTCATGAAGTCTACATGCCATAGCAAAGAACTCATCCAAACAATTACTATGAAAATATTTATAGAAAAGACACAGGGTAGCTACATTATGGTAGTGGGAAAGAGACTGAAGCCAAAATTTCTATGTCAGAACTAATAATATTGTGGATTCTTCTTTGGATTTTATCAAGAACCTCTAAATATATAGCAGGATCACTAGATCATAAGTGTTAGAAATATTCTAAGCATGGGTAAATGGATATGTAAGATAGATTCTGGAGAGAAAAATTGTCTAGCATGACACATTAAATTAAATTTCTTAGCAGCAAACCTTGCAATGGATTCAATATATTCTTTTCATTTCATGTCAGCTGAGAATGTTAACCGGAGAAGGCACAACAAATCACTTTCCTGGGTGATGCTAACCATCAGCTATGCTGATTAAAGGCAGAAAGGGGTCTCTCAGATGATTAATAGAGAGAAGTTTTGTTTTAGAGGTATTGGAGTTAACAAGTCATTCTTTGCTCCAGTTAACAACAGACTTGTTTTGACATCAGCTGCCAATTTGACATTATTAAACTGAACAGACTTACTATCAAGATAGGAGTAAATGGTTGTGTCATGAGCATAGATACCAAGTTGAGAGCTGATGACATCATGAAGGTCATCAATGAAAATTAAAAACAGAGTAGGACCAATGATAGAGCCCCAGGGAACACTCACATTAGTACAAAAGGATCTAGAAGAGTGGCCATTCAAGAGAACCTTCATTTCATAATTTGATAAGAAAAACTGAATCATTCCAAAAATTCATGCAGAGACACCATAACTTTTCGACTTGTAAAGAAGAAAATCATTTGCATACACCTGTAATCGTTTATACATAAAATTTAATTGTTTTTTACCACAAAGGAAAGCAGTTTAAAGATATACAAAATCCACAGGGATGGCTTTTTACTTCAGGAATGCAAAAAAAGACTAAAAAAACTGATACTGTACAACATATTGGAAGCTGAATACTCAAAAGTAAAGAAATATTTCAAAATTTGATTGAAAAGGTAAAATCAAGTGAAAACATCAAAGAAAAGATGAAAATGAGGGAAAATGCTAAAAAAAAATATACAACAAAAAGCCAAGGAAGGAAAACTGGTTTAAAGAGATGAGAAAGAAAAAAAGTGTAAAATGTATGAAACAGACAGGCAAGTGAACAATAAGACAGGAAGAAAATTGAGGAAAAAATGAATAAAGAAAAAAATGGATAATGATGAAAAAAGTTGTCGAAAATAAAGAAAAAGTAAGAAAAGACAAGATTGTGTTAAGGAAAGAAGAAGAAAAGAAAGGTGAGAAAATAAAGGATAGGAAAAAAAAGAGTGAAAAAAGACAGAAGCTGAAGCAAAAGAAGAAGGATGACGGAAGAAAAGAAGAAAAATAAAAAAGTAAATGAAGAAAAGCAAGAAGGAAGAAAACAAAAATGGAGGTTAAAGTAAAAATAAAAGAAAAAAGAAGAAAAGATAGAGAAAATCCAAAACAGAATGAGAACAGCAAGAAGAAACGAAAAGAGAAAGAGAAGTAGGAGGAAGAAATAAGTAAGAGAAGAATAGAAGAAGACTGAATGGGTTGAAGAAAAAGAAGAAAAAGATAGAAGAAAAACAAAAGAAAAAGAAGAAAAAGATAAAGAAAAGACAAAAGAAAAAGAAGAAAAAGATAGAAGAAAAACAAAAGAAAAAGAAGAAAAAGATAGAAGAAAAACAAAAGAAAAAGAAGAAACAGGTGAAGATTAAGATGGAGGCATATCTCAAAAGCACTCAGTTTACCATAGAATAGAATAACAAATGGTTTTCATTTTACTTTTGCATCTCTGAAAATTACTTGTGTCTATTTTTATTACCTTACTAAATGTGATGACACCTTTTAATCAGTGAGTGCAGCCGAGGACGAAAAAGAGACAGATAAGTAGGCTGAAAAGCAAAATGAGAAAGAATGGCTGAGATGGGAAGAGTTCAAGTGAATAGGTAAGCAAAAAAAAAAGTAATGACCTAAAATTTAGTGAAGCTGTTACTGAAATTTCTTTACAAAGAACCACATTAGTAGAAGAAAAAAATCTTCATTTATGGTCTTTCCTTTTAAGTTGTCATTTTTATTTATTTTTTGTTGTTGCTCTTTTTAAGAATTATTTAGAAATTATTGTAGAAATATACTTGTTTTATGTATTGTTGTGGGGATTTTTTATTTTTGGATTTCCTTTTACTATTTTCTCTGCAAGTGGAAATCAAGGAAAGCCATGGAGCACAAGACATTCATTGAATAATTACTGAAAGTTATATTTTTCTGCTTATTTGTATTCTTGCTCACTCACACACACACACATGTTCACACATAGATCTACGCATACACATAAACATGCATACAGATGCAAAAACAAATATCCCCATGTGCGTGTGTGTATATATATATATATATATATATATATATATATATATATATATACTATTATAAAAATATAGTTTTATGGGTAAACTATATTTATGAATAAATGTGCTCAGTATCAGGGATTGAGCATATGTAAATATAAAAGTCAATACTGAAAACAACATGAGTGGTGACAGTCTGTTTCATGCTTGAATGCAGTCTTGAAGCCATCATGAAACAGACTGAGACCATATATATATATATATATATATATATATATATATATATATATATATACAGTGAGCCAGACAAACCTAGCTAGGTTTCACCTAAATGGATCGCCAAATTTCCCTGATGATCCGTTTAGGTGAAACCTAGGTATATTTGTCTGGCTCACTAGGTTTATCTAGGTCTGCTCTATGGTTGTATTGAGCTCTTTTT